CATGCAAAGATCAGTTTTGGCCGCTTGGAAAAACCATTTTTTAAGTAGTGACCGGCACATAGGAGGAGTCAGACAATGAGATTGGTGTGATGCGACTGACGACTGTAATAGTTATCTCTTTTTATATATGTCTATAGGAGTTGGTTTGAACCATTGAATCTTGACCGAAGGATGAAATAAAAAAAAGACCGAATAGGAGATCTCTCAATTGGCAACCATCGCCGGTCATCCGGTTGCTACATAACATCCGTGAATTTTATGGCCGAACATTTGTAGTAGCTATTGATGGACAAAATCCACAATTCCCTGTTCTCCATTTCTATTGTTCTTTATTAGAATTTAGAAGGTACTAAGCAGGTGATGATGGGCCTACTTTCGAAGGCATTCCATTTTGCGCTTTATATGCTGAAGACACACGATACAATGAAAAATGATCTTAAAGTATGATGGTCCAAAATCCATATTGTGGCAAAAACAATATAAAAATAAGTAAATTAATTTGAAAAGTTAAGAATTAATATGGCCACGGCTTATAATTAAGACATAACTCAAAGATATATTGTATACTTCCTCTAGTCATTAATATTTGATGTCGATCGGGTAACACCTATTCCCTCCGTCCAAAAAAACTCAACTTCTAGAGTTTGAATTTTGTTCCAAAAAAACCAACTTTTACCCTTCTACCTACTCTCAGCACGTAAAACGAGAAATTTTATTGCTTCAATACTCTTTACCTACATATCACTCTTACTATTTTTTTAATGATTAAGGGTATTTTAGTCATTTTCACTCTCCACTAGTTTCACCTAGGGATGCTAGGAATGGACTGTTTCTGGGAGGGAGGAAGTAACTAGTAGGAATAAAATCCGGTTGACATCAAATTAAATAATCAAATATTAGTGACCGGAGATAGTACGACGCTGAGGTAACGGTAACTCTCATGCAAGATTGTAAAAAGAACCGTATATCTATCTTCTTTTGGAACCTCACCTGACTGAAAAGCTACTCCTTCCGCGCTTTGCAAATGCATGCAGCCGTCACTATATATGACTACACACATATATATATACACCACACACATAACCTTTAATTTATTAACTTCTCAAAAAACTCTCGACGTTCGGTGGATTTTTTTTTCTGACAAAAACAAAAGAGCACTTATCGTACCCATCAGCACACTGTCCATACCCACCCTTTTCTTTCTATCCAAACGTGAGAAAAAGTGCATTATTTGATACGTACATCTCATGGTATGTATGGTGTTCCATCCATCAAACTTTGGCTGCAGTACACACTTTGGTCGGCCATCCCTCCGATCTCTCAAGTGCGCCCAAAAAGTAGATTTCCTCGTAAAAAGAGAAGGGGAAAGATGGCTAGCATCGATCCATCCTTGTTTTGTTTTCTTTGTTTCTACCTGCAGGAGCTAGGTCAATGCTCCAGTGCTGCACATATCCAATCAACTTAGTTTTTTTATTAAAAAAAAACAAATCAACTTAGCTTAAGGCCGGCTCCTTTCCAATTGACCACACGAAATTTATAGGAATCAATTTAATTTCTGTACAAATTCTCTAAAAGTCCTTTGTTCCAAAGTAGGCCTACACTAGTACATAAATAATTTCTCCAGACGGCCAAAACAAATTTTCACAAACAGGCCTCTGGCCCATCTACACCTAGGTTTCTGTGAATTAAAATCGCTAAATTTCCATGCGGTTAGTGCAACCGCATGCGTAAACGTGATTTTCGCATGCGGTCACATTTACCGACCGCACACGAAAATAGTTTCAGTTAAAAGAAATCCAGAAAATCAAAATCACCCGAAACCCTAGCCGCTACCGCCGTCGTCGTCAGAGCAGCTGCCACTGCCATCGTCGTCAGAGCAGCCGTCAACACTAGTCGTCATCGTTGCGCTGCCACTACCCACCGCAATCGCTCCCGAGAGCTAGGGGCGGAGGCATAGTATATTAGAGGAGTGTCTAGGAAACCGGCCAAGAAAAAAATTTAGCTATACCTCACCTATTTTTATCATGTGTGCACCCCCCTCAATACAAACATAGACACCCGAATCAGCTTAAACTCGATCTAAAATAGAGTAAATTAAGCGTTAAAACCGAATCAGCTATACCTCCGTTTCGTTCTAGCTCCGCCCCTGGCTAGAGCGGGGACGGCGGATCCACGCGCCACCATCGCTTCCTAGGGTGGGGACAGTGGATCCATCCATTCCCATCGCTTGTCGCCCGTCGCTCCTGAGGATGGGGACGACGGATCCGTGCGCCACCGCCACTCACGCGGGCGGGGACGGTGGATCCGCTCGCTCCCACCACTGACGCCGGCCGTTCACTCCTTCTATCGCCGCCACTCCCGAGGGGGTGGGGGGGGGGGTGGGGAGGGGTGGTGGGACGGATCCGCGCACCGTCGTCTCTATCGTGAGGGCGGGCTTGGCGGATCCGCCCACCAGCCACCTTCTCAGGGTGGTGAATCCGCCCGCAGCCGTCGCTCCCGAGGAAAGGGGCGGCGGATCCGCCCGCTCCTGTCGTAGCTTGCCGTAGAAGAGGGGGAAGAGGGGAGAGGGGAGAGGGGGGAGGGAAGGAGAAGAGATGTGGAGAGGGGAGAGGGAGAGGAGTTAGCCTGGAGGAGTGGGAGAGGAGAAAATGGTGTGGTGTAGAGAAAGAAGGGGAGTTCAAAAAATGTTGTGGTAAAAAGTGTGAGGGTCCATGTGCTCTGTAAGTAGCCCGCATACGAAAATCTACTTTCGCATGCTGTTTTCGCATGTAAAAATAGACTCATTTTTGCATGCGGATGTGTTAAGAGGTTCGCGTGCGAATTTTTGCATGTGAGCCTCTTAAGGAGCTGTATGCGAAAATACTGGTCGATTTTTGCTGGTGTGACCAGTTATTATCCGTCTACAAACTATAGGGGTCCTCGTATAGAAAAATCATTTCTGTAGTAGTGTTAGAAGAAGATGCATGCAACTGCTCTATGCTTTTGTGCTGGACCTGTCCCTTACTACTAAAAAACAATTTTCCCAAACGGCTAAAATGCATTTTCACATGCTGGTATAGCAATCGTATAGCCCCAGGTGTATGTAAAAATAGGGATTTTTCTAGGCAGGCAACACAATTGCACGCAAAAAAATGGATTTTCGCATGCGGCATGTTATGCTGCCTGACTTCAAAAAGAATTCTTGCACAATAAAAAAAAATCAAAAACAGAAAAATCGTAAAAGCCCAAGCTCGAGAGCGGCCGTCTGCTGTCGCTGGACCCACCGTCACTGACCTCCCAACCGTCGGATTCACACCTGCCGAGGCCCATCGCCGCATTCGTTGTCGCAGCTCCCACCAGATCGGCGCGCGATGGTGGGGGATATGACACTGGATCTGTTGCGTTGAGCCCCACCGCCGCAGCGGGCACCGAGCGGTCAAGCCCTACCACTACCAACCCTTGTGAGGGAGTGAGGGAGGAGCACTGGGAGAGGATGTGGTTGAGACTTATCCACTCTATGGTTAGTAGAGGAGGATACATATCCAGACTAGCTTGCTGGATAAGTTTTTCACGGCTAGTGCTCTTTAGCAGTCGTCTGCGAAAATTGATTTCCGTAAGTAGTCGCTTAAGACATTCGTATGTGAAAATAGTTTTATTTTCACATGTAGACGTGTTAAGCGACCACTTACGAAAATCGATTTTTGCAGACGAACATATACCACAAGAGCTTTCTCACTATTATTACAAAAGGATTTTTATTGCCCCATCTGAAAAAAAATAAAACACTGGTGTCTGCAAAAATTGTTTTATAGTAGTGCCAACAAGAGTATATTTTGGTTGTTTTTACCCTAGACGATTCACATGCATATATATAGATCCATGAGCGTCACTTTTAACATGCATTTAGACGATATATGGAGATTATTGATAAATATATGATCTCACTAAAATTTTGCATGCTAAAATAAAGTGTATGCGAGTATGTGTATACGTATGTTATGCATATCAGGATTCATCTTAGGCCCCCTTCAAACAAATGATTTGTGATGTGGCGGAGCCATCTCCTGGATAGGTCGAGCAGTTGCCAGGGCTCCGTCGCCGTCTCCTATCTATAGTTGTCAACCCCTATAAAAATTAGTCAATCATTGAAAAACGCTATTAGTGTCGTTCGGGCTTGATGATGTCGTTGGCTCCGCCATTGGATTTGTGGAATAATTTTGTAGGATTCAAATAATCCAATAGAAAATTTTCCTATATTGTCCTTTAAAACAAAGGATTGGAGCTTCCCATATCCTATGAAATTACTAAGAAATAGCTTATTTTGGAAAAAAAATTTAACAGGAGCTCTAGCACCTCTTGCAAATTTTCCTGAGTTCATCTCTTATTCAATTCATGCGTTTTTTCTATAGTTTAATCAAATGATCATTCCATTGCTGTATTCTCCGTGTTTTGTAATTCTCTTTTTTGGATTTGCATTGCCAACAAAGTCATGTATTTTTTTTCTATTCATCTGTTTTCTTAATCGTGAGTTTTAAAGTGGCCGTTAAAGTTGGAGCAATATCGTGTCGACGAATTATTACTAGCTTAGCTTGGGAAGCGTTTAGGTCGGCCCGTATATGTGCAGTGTATGCTTGCACATAAGGGGATACGTACGTCGATAAATAGTGGTAGAAACTTGACTGGAGCTCGCATACAACAAAACGGGTGAAAGTTTTTCAACATGCAGAACTGACATTAATGATGTACCGCATGCATGCATGCCAATGGTGGCGGCAATCGATCGTCATCCTCCGAATTACCAATAAATGTCAACACTGTATATATGCAGCGCTAGATCGATCGTCGTTATACATGTACAGTTGCGAACACAGACACAATTGATAATCGATCGGTAGTCCTAACTGGAGTAATTAACAAGGGCTGGAGCTAGATTTAATTTACGTACTGCTTCATGACCTGAAACTGAAGAAAACATTGGTTGATCTTGTTCCACCATGGGTTAACATAGCAGAACGGCATGATTACATCAAAATCATCACCAACACGTAATTAATAAGTTGATCATCATACATATGATCGATCGGTGCTATATAATCATGCTAATAAACAACCAGCCAGCTGCTAGCTGCTATATTGATCAAGAAAAACTAAGAGCACGAGATCACACCTTACATTTTCCCATAACCCTAATTAACGTAGCAAACAAAAACAAAAACAGCAACATCAACTAATAAGTGATAGTAGTATCACTAATAGATCGATAGGGTGATCATAAACTCTAGCTATGAACCTGGACAGGATTGAACTTTTTTTGGATGGAGGGGTGTATATGTATGCTAGTAGCTAGCTAGCGCGGCGGCGGCTGCAGGGAGGAGGCAGCCATGGAGGACGAAGGTCTGACGACGGCGTCGGCGTCGGAGACGGCGCCGTCGTCGTCGTCGGCGTCGAGGGCGGTGTGGGCGTGGCCGAAGGCGCGGGCGTGGTCCTTGAGGGAGCGCTTGTGCTTGAACTCGGAGCCGCAGAGGCAGTACCAGAGCTTGCCGCAGTTCTTCTCGTGGGTGCGCCAGTCGCCCTTGACGGCGAAGGCCTTGCCGCACTTGCGGCAGAGGAAGGGCTTGAGGCCGTGCTTGCGCTTGTAGTGCGTCTGCAGCGTGCGGAAGTCCTTGAGCGGCCGCGCCCGCGGGTGGTCGATGTTGTTCCGGCACCCCGCCGCGCAGCAGTAGCACGGCAGCCGCAGCATCGCCGTCGGCTGCACCCCGCGCAGCGACTCCGGCCCCTTCCTGTACTGCGACCCATGCCCCCACATATGCATCTGCATCCATGCATTTTTTTTCAACAAGTTTCATTAATTTCCATCTCGTTTTTTTTTCTGATCGACATCAAAATGTATATATTCACCAAATCAATACTCCCTATGTCCCATAATATAAGGGATTTTTGGGTGGATTTGACATATTGATCTAGTAAAATAAATCTAGGCGGTCCGTCTATCCAGATTCATTATAATGTGTCACATCTATCCAAAATCCCTTATATTATGGGACAGAGGGAGTAGTATATACAATGTAATAAAAACAAATTCAGAAGTTTTTTTTTATAAAGCTTCATGTATATATATGGGATGTCGATCGTCCTCTCCAGGTATGAGAACACACTTAATTAGATCCCTAGCGATCGTATCATTGCATGCTCAATGTTTCTTACTTTATCTAAAATCATATGCTGATGAGCATTCATTTCAAATGCATCACCTTTTTGTTTATGTTCGTTTTGTTTCAGGAAATTTAGCACCATTATTTCACATTTACTCCTACTAGTATAAACAAAAGGAACAAAAAGGAGGTGATGTATTTCAAATGAATGTTCATCAGCATATGATTCGAGTAAGTATATTGCAGGTATTTAATGCACCACTGCAGCTATAGTTGCATTGCTAGCAATATTCAGCTGCGGCAAACCTGAGAGAACTACTCGAACTGAAGCTGCTGCATGCATATGTCAATTAGTGCAGCTGCTGCTAGCTAGTGTGTGATCTTTTGAAAGTGAGGGCTCTACTACTCCAGGCAGCTATGCCCCCTTTGCTAGCTTGGCTTGTGTGTTTGTTGTGTTCAATGTGTTGGTGTTGTTCCTTTAAAGAGTGCAGCCAGAGTGGCACTGTGTTGGCTGCATGCCTACAGGAAGCACACTGCAGATCTCTCTTGCTGTTCTTGGGAGATGTGTTCAGCAGCAGCAGCAGCTCCATAATCTTATGCTTTCCAAACCATGAAAGCCTGTCCTGAAACAACCCCCATGCATATATCTACCCAAATCTTATTTGAGCCCTGAGTCCTGAGTGATCAGGATTCAGGACTACTAGGTGCATGATAGCAAGTGTAGTACTAGTACTAGTACAAGTAGAAACTACACCTCCAGAAAGGAGTATATGTAATCTGATGAGATCAGTGGAAGTGTACTAAGACAGTGAGAGAAGCAAAGATAAAATCTTCACTGGGATCTCCACTGCAGCTTGGCCACTCATATGCATCTCCAAAAGCCAAACAACTCAAGGAGAGAAAAGCATAAAGATTGCATGCATGGTAAGCTCTAGCTCTACCTCTAGCTATAGCTGCTCCTGGCATGCCAGTCTAGTTCAATCACACAAAAGGCAGACACCACTACTGTTGCATGCTCCTGTGAGCTCAAGTCTATTTCATGGCATGCATCTGCTCTCCAAAGCTAGCAGCTTGCTACCCACCTCCTCTCTACTTTAATTGCAATCAACAAAATCATGACCAACCAATCCTTGCAAAGTTATCACAATCATATTGTGTGTCCAAGAACAAGAATTAAGATCAATTATTCAGATGAGATGTTTCTAGCTAGTAGTACTAGCTATAATAAGAATGTGATTAAGATGATTATTAGCTCTGACCTGCAAAGTTATCACAATCATATTGTGTGTCCAAGAACAAGAATTAAACAGCAATATAAGATCAATCATATATTCAAATGAGTAGCTAATAAGAATGTAATTAAGATGATTATTAGCTCTGACCTGCATGTTATTGTATCTGTTGAAGGTTTTGAAGCAGACAGGGCAGGAGAACTGGGTTGGGCCGATGAGGATCTGCGATGGCGTCGGAATCCAGTACTGCCCTTTGTTCAGCTTCCCGATCGGCGTCGACGAGAACCCTAGCGGCACCACCTCGTCGTCGCCGCCGCTGCCGCCGCCGTCCACCTTGCAGTCCTCCTCCTCCTCCTCGTGTTCGACGCCGGCGCCGGTGAGCCCGGAGAGGAGATCGGCCTCCGTGCCGCCGGCAGGCAGGCCGATGCGCAGGGCGACCGCGGCGTCGATGTCCGCCGTTGTCCCGGCGACCTCCACGTCCATCGGGTCGCCGCCGTCGTTGTCGTCGCCGCAGCAGGTGGGGATGCAGTTGAGGTCGGCGAAGAGCGGCGCGCGCGCGGCGGCGGCGGCGGGGGTGGCCGTCGACCCGGCCGCCGCCCCCTCCTGATCCTGCAGGTGGTGGTAGCAGCAGTCGCCGTCGTCGTCGTCGTCGGAGTCCGAGTCAGCCGCTGCGTCGACGACGCCGCCGCGGCGCGCCGGCGTGGGCGACAGGGACAGCAGCGGCAGCGCTTCCCGCAGCGGCGGCGACGGCGGCGCCTGATGCTGCTGGTGCACCGGCGGCGGGTGGAAGAATGCGGCCGGCGGGTACTGATGATGATGATGCGCGCCGACGCCGACGCCGACGCCACCGGCGGTAGGATACAGGGCAGCGTAAGGCGGCGGCAGCGGCGGAGGGAGGTGAGCGGCGGCGGCGGCGGCGGCGGGCGCGGTGGGGAAGGAGCTAGCCGAGGTGCAGTAGTAGTAGTAAGGGTTCTTGAAGAAGCTAGTGTAGGGGTCTTCCATGAGGAAGCTTGGCTGCTTCACTTCACTTCTCAAGCTGATCTCTACTGCTGCTGCTGCTGCTGCTTCTTCTACAGTTTCTACTGCTGCTTCTGCAGCTGCTCTTGCTTGCTTGCTGCTTTTGCTTCTGTTCTTGGCTAGCTACTACTACTGCTGCTTGCTGGATTGGGAGTGAGCTGCCATGGTTGGCAAGGGGTAGTTATAGTGAGAGATGGAGGTAGGGCAGGGAGAGAGATAGAGAGAGAAGGCCAAGAGGGGAAAAAAATATGTGGAAGAGTGGGGGAAACTGTTTTAACAGCTCGAGTGGACGTCCACCCGTTTATTGCATGTCATCTAAATGGTTATAAAAACAATTAAAAAAATATGAACAAGATAGATCAATATGCAATATATCAATCCACAAACATGCAAGTTAAAATTTAACTTCTACAAATTTGTAACAAAAATAATAAACAAAACTCAAATTCCTATATGTATATTTATAATTAAATTTGTTATTTTTGTTATAGCCTGTAGAAGTGTAATTTGAAATTGCATGTTTGTGAAGTGATATATTACACATTGATCTATCTTGTCAATTTTTTTTTGAAAATTTTTTTTAACCATTTAGTTGACATGCAATAAATGGGTGGACGTCCACTTGAGCTATTAGAATCCGTCTCCGGAAGAGTGGTAGTATTGTTCTTCTGACGGTTGCACTCTGCTAAGGGGAATCCTAAGCTTTACCAGATGAGATGTTGTATGGAGAGTATTATGTGCAGGCTGATGACCACACCATATGGGGCTCCATCTTCATCATGAGACCAGATATATCATACAGTACATGCAATGCAAACCTTACACTTTACTGAAATTTTACGGCAATTGAGAAAGTGTTTGGAGGTACGAAGTATATATTTACTAAGTTTTATATAAAAATATAATATTTTACTATATTCTCAAGGACGGTAAAAGTATACTTTACTTTACTTTCTCAAGAATATTAAAATTATCCTATAAGTAAAGTTACTTTATCTGATACAATTAAAAAATACACGTCGTTTTATTTTGGCATCGGCGCTAGTTATGTTCCAAATAAATACAGCTTCAATATATCCATTTTTCTATTGTAAGTTATAAATAACACAATTATATGTCTAATATTATGGGAATATTTTAGAGATGAACCTAGCCATATATAAGTAATTTCATGTATCCTTTCTGAGAACTAATATCTAGAGTAATTTAACAAAACTATGTATATTTGCTTTCATTAAACTGTTAAAAAAACTTATATTCAAGTCGATTTATTACAAATGTACAGATTTAGTAATAAAGTTATCAGAAAAAAAACATAATTTAGAGCTATATATATAAATATAAATATTGTAGTTTTGAATTAAAATTAACACTAAATTTGTAGTTTTGTGATACCGTGCCTTAAATTTTGCGCTGGTAGTTTTGTGATAAGCTCAAGGCTAACTATATCTTTTTTGTGATAGTTTAGCCAAATCATATAATTGAAATTGCTCTAATATTTAAGAAGACATTCGTGTACTCCATGTTTTAAAATATTGATCAAATGCTGATGAGGACATCAATAATATTCTCTAAAAACATGTATTTGTGATGAAATGTTGTTTTTTCATTGTTTCCCGCCATTTATGGCAGAGAATATTTTTTTGAGCCTTTTCCGAGTGCATATATGTATTGATGGAACATGGAAAATTAACACTCTAGAGATACTTGTACCTGTAATTTCCTTCCAGGTCTGCAAAAAATTATTTTCATTGTGTATTTAACAAATTATTTCAAGCACCGAAAAATGATTTGGCAATAAACTACTTTCTCTGTTTTATAAATGTATGGCTTCCATCACCATTTTGTTTATAGCATGAACGAATTCAAGATGTCCCGACCAGGGTTTATGTTACCGCCGGTAACCGCACAGTTACCGGCATACCGCGGGGTACGGTAATATAAATACCACGGTAATATCCTTAAATACAAATAAATTTAAAAAAATTATTTGAATTTTTGATAAATTTTGCACGGTTTTTTATGGTTACCGCGCGGTAACCGTGCTTACCGTCGGGGTGCGGTAACCCCAGCCCCGACGGTTTGGGAAACCCTGGTCCCGACTGGCTTTTCAAATGTTTTCCCAGAACATGCATAATAGTTATTTCAAACAACAATTTGTTTCAGTATGTTGCTATGAAGCTTGTGTGGGAAATTAAATCAAATTAAATTCGAACTAATTTAATTTAGTTTTAGTCCATAGTTAGAGTAACACCTGTACTATATTATATTACTCCTACTAGCGGTTTGTCCAGCCAGCCGTGTAGTATTAGCTAGCTAGGAACCAACCAAGAAACGGTTCAACGGAAATGGACAAAGCCAAACAAAGCATGCAAAAGAAACGCAGGCATATGAATAAACAATTCCGCAAACAACGAGACTAACTAAGCTTTTCACTTCCAGACATTACATGGTTTGCATGATCGATCGATTTACGCACCTGCACCTGCACCTGCACCGTGCGTGCCGCTCGTCTGCCCTGCCCTGCCCCTGCCTGCGGGCTGCAAGCGACAGCCGCGGCGTAATCCGCTTCGGGGCGTGGCGCGTCGGCCGCGCCCTCCACCGGCACCCGCCTCGGACGCCGCGGCGCGCGGTCGGGCCGTGGCGCGGCCGCGCTGCCGGGGAACGCGACGTACGCCGTCGAGCCGACGACGTCGTACGCGCACGCGCACCCTCGCATCGCGTGCCGCGCGCGCGCCCTAGCTTCCGATCGATCACACACATCGATCCGCATGTTGTGTGATCGATCGATCTGCCGCCTACCCCCATTCCGCCTCGGAGTGTGCGACGTGCTAATCCCATGCATGCAAATTACTCCTATAGTAAATCTTGCTAATTACAGCAGGTACAATAGCAGGCTATAAACTACCTATAAATATATTTTAAAAAGATAAAGGAAGAGAGAGAAAAGTAGCGGGCTACGGATCTGTAGCCAGCTGCAGCACGGACTCCAAGACGCAATGAGTGTAAGACAGGTGGAACCAGATATTAATAGTATAGTAAGTAACTATTGTATGAATTGGCTATTACATTGACTATAAATGATTTGGAGCTAGTAGTGGACTATATATTAAACTTGCTCTAAGAGCAGGTACGGTACACAATAGTGGACTATAAGCCATCTATAAACACATATCGAGAAGATAAAAAAGAAGATATATCGAAGAGTAGTAGCGGACTACAAATTGGTAACCAGATGCAGCACGGATTATAAGACACAATATGTATGTGAGAGATGAGATCATATATTAATAGTGTAATATATATTTACAAAATAACTATGATACGAATTAACTATTGTCTATTTGGAGTATAATATTAAACTTGCTAAAAAACCGGCGGTCCACTTTTCACACCGCGGCAGCAAGCAAGAAGCTGCTGCTGCTGCTACAGCTTGTTTGGGAAAAGGGGATTAGTAGTATTTTAATCTGAGGAGGATCGAGGGAATTGAATTAGTTTTAATTAGTAAAGGTTAATCTGTTCTGCCGGCAGCTGCCTCCGGAAATCTCTCTGGTGTACAATTCCTGTCGCTGATGAGAGGGAAGAAGCTAGTCTAGTGTGTATCTGCATGCGCACGCGCGTGCGTGGTCAGATTACATTTGATCTTTGTCGTTTCAACTGGATGCATGTACTACAGTAGTATGTCCTAGTAGAGTTCGCGGAGCTAAGCAGCTAGCCAGTGTTTTTTTAGTGTTTTGCATGGTTTAATTTCGTTGGGGAAAATCTAAATATCCCTATATAAATCACTAGCCTTTCTAATCTTCCCCCTAAAAGCCACTTTCGTACTAGACACCCTGCAAGTTCAATGCCTCTTTTAGTTTCCTGGTCTCACCCTACAAGTTCAATGCCACTTTTAATTTCCTGATCCCCCTCTACCTTTCAACGATGTACTATCACTATTAGAGCAAATTTAATAGTATAGCCCACTACTGGCTCCAATTCATTTATAGTCAATCCATACAATAGTTGCTTACTATACTATTAATATATGGTCCCACCTGTCATATACACATTGCGTCTTAAAGTCCGTGCTGCAGCTGGCTATAGATCTGTAGCCCGCTGCTCTTCTCTCTCATTTTTTATCTCATTAAAATATGTTTGCAGCTAGCTAATAGTCTGCTATTGTACCTGCTCTTAGCTTAACTTCTTGTGTCATCTGGGCTTCCAGCATGATGAGGCGAAGTTACCTCATGCGCGATACAACAAGGAAGCCTACGCACCTCCTAGTCAACTAGGGATCACACTGAGTTGTAGATGTTTCAAATAGCCATGTTGTGTTTTGTATCGTGGTTTGCCATCACCACCGCGGTGCTCGTGGAAGGCAGGGTGTCAAGGTTTGCCATCACTGCCGCAACGCTTGTGGAAGGCCTGAGGAACCCACCCTTGTCATGATGGGATGGGGCAATTCCATTTCTCCATGTTGGACGCCCACATGGCATGCGAATCTGAGCAAACGATGAACTTGAAAGAGAAATTGAACTTGTAAGGGATATTTTGTATCAAAGTGAGTTGTAGATGGGGTGTAAAAAGACTTTGTGACGTACAGGGGTCATTTGGATTTTCCCAAATTTCGTTGAGAGTACTCCGTGTGTTAACGGAAATTATAATATTTCTATGATCACATACGTAGAATACGCTCGGGCCGATACCAGCACATCACATGCACACACCAACACATTTACAACTCCCCCACCCCAAATCATTTGCCCTATATATACGTATAGAACCAACTGCTGCCAGCATTTGAATTTTAAAAGTTGAATTTAAAGTTCTTTCATCGAAATTTATTTTTCAACATTTACTTTTAAATCACTGATGATACATATATAAAAGTTTTACCCACAAATTATTATGTTTTTGCTAATACGCTGTAGAGCACACATATTATTAGCACATGGCCAACCGATGGGGACCACAAACTAAAGAGAATGGATCAGTGAAAAATTTATGATCTTTTTTTTGGGAAACATGTTTGCGTATACATAATTTTAATTCCTAGGATAGGTGTGGAGTCATGCATCCATAACTCCATGCGACTATATACCCTAGTGCCTTTCTAGTTGGAAAAAAAAGAATTTATACTGATCTTTGTATAATATGTTTGGTTTTTTAGGGCTATTTGCATTTGAATATTGTTGTACACACTACTTGTACCCACAGTCTGCCTATAAAGGAAATTTACATGTGATGGATAC